GTGGCACCCTGGCATGTAATGAGGGTTTTGTGCATCTCAGGTATTTAGAATCTCCGAATAGGCCACAGTCAGTTTACTGAGAAAAGCCCTTGAAAAACTGGTGCTGTTCAGTAGACTTTAAATCTAGAAGTTTTAATGACTTGGCGCGGTCCTATGAACTTCCACCATCGCCTTCTACGTTGAGAGAGTCGCAGATTTCACTTTTCCTGCCGGCTTACATGATCACTTGAGAATTTGTTGACAAGGTATCTGTTGGCGGGGGCTGCCGTCACCCTGGTGGTCCAGAAGTATGGCTCTTGCATCTGGAAGCTTGGCGACCAGGCGCTGAAGCTCATCCGGGCCGAACACGGGTCGGGGTGCTTTTTGGGTTGCTTCGGTTTCTTTGTTCGGCAACTATCCATACGCACACCTTGCGATATGTTTCAGCTTACTGCGGAACTTTGATACATGTTCTTTCTTAAATTATTCTCATTATTATTCTGACTATTATTACTATTACTATGATTATTGTCATTATAGTGATTAATATTATTGCTGTTATTATTATGATGATTATATTAATAACATATATATATGTGTGTGTGTATACACACGTATACAGTTAGTTATTCTTCTTCGTATTGATGCGAGCGTTGAAATAGTTTGTGCATATTGTATTCATCATGTATATAGGCATGTATACATACATACATACCACTGAACCCTTGTCCTAATTGGTAAGACCTCTATAACATCCCCGAAGCCCCTGCGCCCGGTGGAGGGACCCGAAATCAAAAAGCTGCGCGGTGTCCTTGTGAGCACTGAAAGAGGTGGGCATCCGTGGTGCGCCTGCACCCCTCCGGGAAGTTCCAGATGCGACAGCATGGGAGCCGCTGAAGCAGATCCTGCAGCAGTGGGACCCTTGACTGCAACTTCGCGGTGCTTATCCTTTGAATCCAACTTGTCATTGTCATAGCTATTGATGTTGTCACATTTGCTGCTACCCGATTCGGAATTCATGTATATAACAGGCTAAGTACCGCTGTTTATGAGAGCTGCTAGCATGCCAATGACCAGAGCAAGAAGCGGCCTCTTCAGGATGCTGATTCGGAGGGGCCCTTAGCACAGCCAGCTCCCGCTGAATAGGCAGATCGAATAAAACCCTGAGCCCGAAACCCGACAACAATTAGGCCACCTTTCAGGTACAGGACTGGGTAGCAAACCCCTCCACTGCTTGAGGGCTGCGTGCTGTCTGACGTAACGACGGCGTTTCCGTAGTGGGGTTTAGGGTTGGGCCTAACACCCAGGAAGCAATGTAGAGAAACTGCCAAGACATCGCGATAATGTGGCGACTGCACGCGTGACGGGTTGTGAAGCCTCGATTGAAAACTAAACTAATCTAGCGTGCTCAGCAATTAGAATTAAGATACTGTTCCTTGAAGCAAGATGCTTGATGCCTGTGCCGCTTAAGGGGGTGGAAGCGGAGAAGGCATAGAGCCTCCGGACCTCTGGGGTTTTGCACCTGTTCGTGTTTATCTTGGGTGCTTACGGGTGCTTGCTGAGGCCTCTTCGGTGTTGCGAAGATTCTGTCAGGACCTTGAAGAAAAGTTGGTACATGTCGCGCCAGTCTGCGCGTAAATCTGTCATGGGTGATAAGAGTCAAAAGCAGCAATCACATCATCAGAGTCAAAGCTGCAGTCGCATGTTTCATGCATCTGTCGATCTCGGTGTATACCTATAGCCATCTTAATGTCATGACTTAGCCGCTAGTATGTATCATTATAGTATCTAAACAAACTGAAGCAAGCCCAGGAGTTCACATCGAACTATGCCGTGGCTGAAGCTTGGCCGCACTATGAAGAAACTGTTTCACAACTCGGCACCAAAGGCTGATGCTCCGAGACATCACAGCTTCGTCCTGGCAGTATCAGCTAGCTGCATTACTACTGTGATGTGTGTTCGGTTATTGGTATAGTGCCCTAGCCGCACAAGCGCAACATGAAGACGATTTTGTGGCCAGCGAGCTTATCCCTAAACCCTTAAGCCTAGCCCGAATGCCTAAGCCCGAAACCCTGTGCCCTCAACCCGAAACCCTAAATGCCTGCCAAAGCCCAGGGCCCTGTTATCAAGCCATCCCCCTTTGTCGTCAGAGACTCCCTGGGTGTGCACCAGCTTAGCCTTCGAGGTCAGTGGCCTAGGTTTGGGACTTTCCGAAATTATGGTACCTTAACGTTGGGGTCCTTATAATAAGGATCCTACTATTAAGGGTACTATATTCGGGTTCCCTATTTTCGGAAACCCCCATTTTGGAGGCCCGGAGGCACGAAACCTTGGGCATCCCGCAAACTGGAAGTTGAAACGAGTCGCACTCGGGATCCGTGACCTGCAGGAGATGGGACGCGTCGTAGTCTGGGTACTTCTAAACATCTTCCTATTCAGAACGTGAGACTGTAGAAAGCCTATATCAAGCACAAAGCCGTTAGGCTTTTAAGCTTATAATTTAGGCCCAAGCAGGACTTCAGGGAAACACAAGGCCATTCCATCAAGCCACACAGGCCTGAGCATTCATTCCGCAAGATCTCGGAGTTGGGGAAACACGGCACTTCGACAGAACCCCCCCCCCCACAATAGCAACCCTGAGCCCTAAAAGGGTCCTACGATGGAAGGCCTTAGACGGGCGTGCACCCTGCGACCATGTAGTAGGACGGACATGAATCTTGTAGTCGTACTAATAGGGATGAACAAAATGTGTAGGGACATGGTGTCGTGAGTCCCGAGATTCGCAAGGTGGGCGATGCCACCAACGGACGGCTCTTCACTTATCAGGGTGGCAACTTCACCCTGAAGACGCCACTTGCTCCCGACTTCAGGGGCCACAATACGAAGCAACGTTGTATCTGGGATGTCAAGTAGCTGATCCCACTGCCAAGAGTTTCGCCATTGGACGTGGGTGGGAGGGGGGGGCCAATATCAGGTTACACGAAACGACCATTGTTCACATCATTCTAGCAATTCTAACAACCCGCTATGCACCACCTACAGAAAAGTTCTTTGCAGACCCAGACGAAAAGCCTATAAGATGGGCCTAGACGTAACATGTTCTCAAACGCCCAAATTAACAGAATCAAGCAAGCCAGCCTGTCAGATTTTCTTCCGGGTTTTGGGCCTTGTTACGGTTTGGGGCAAAGGATTTGCAGCGTTTGGGGTCTCAGTTGTAAGGATCGAAGGTATGGAAGGCAAGTAGTTTTATGACCGCGGTTACATTCGCACACGCATCGTCATACCTTAGCCATGGGCAAGACTTGGAAGGCATATCCAAACGACTCCCTGCTTGGGGCTGATGGTTTTGCTTAGACCGTTGCGGAGTATGCCCTCGGGGTTTTGGCCTTTGGATTCAGGTTTGCGGCTCTCCTGCATTTCGCCCAGGAAGATCCCAACCGGCAGCACCAGCAAGTGGCCATCGGCAATGATGTCCCCCAGCAGAACAAACTGATTACACAAGAGCGTATGCTGGGCAATAGTTCTTACCAGCGAGAACAACTTTTGCCTGGTGCTGCAGCTCCTGCAATGTCGAGATTCCTTGTTTCAGAAGGTTACTGATGCTTGGCCCGTTGACAGACTAGGCCAGCCTTGTGATTTCAATTGTGAGGTCAATACCAGGCTATAGAATCAGATAAGTTGTATGCGTGTCCGTTGCCACTCAAGCCATCTGAAGATACCATGGCAAATCACAGGATCATTGAACTAGCTCGGCAGTCTCAGCGACACCAGGATCTCAAAGAAGTTTATCTAGTCCCTGTGCCTTCTTGGGCGCCTGTTTGATGTGTTTATCTCTAACTCTGAATCCTGACAGGTGTGCATCCACAGCCTCAGCAATGTTAGTCAGAAGCCCCAAGCCTTTCCCGTCGTCTTCCCCAGTGCGTCGATCAAGTGCATTTCAAGGGTAACGGCTGCATCAAGACTGACAGCATATGTAATAGTAGTAATAATAGTAATAGCAGTCATAATGCTAACACGAATACCAATAATGCTGACCATAGAATGGCAATAATGGTAGACATGACGGTGACATATCATTGCAATAATATGAGCAAGTATTGCTACGGTTGTTCGAGTTCGCGAGGGGCACGAAATATTCCCAAATGGAGATTGAAGGTAACAATAGCTACCAGGTTCGCCGGGCTGGTGAACGACGGCTCCGTCAGCTCCTTGGACGACCCGATCTACAAGTATTTGCCTTGGTGGACGAAGGATCCCAAGGACGAGCCGTCACCGTTTCGGGTTTAGGGGGTTAGGGGGTGTGACGGTTTGGGTGTAGGGTTTTGGGGTTGAGAGTTTAGGGTAACCCTAAATTCTAAGCTCGAGCTGAAGCTGAAGCTGAAGGAGCATGGAAACACATGAGGGGTGTCGTAGCATTAACTCCGGAAGCTGTGGGGTTTGATCAGGGTTGAGTCGGGAAGGTTTGTTGTAGAGGGCTCACGAGAATTCAAGTTGGTACAAGGACACGACTAGACGACGAGACTATGAGACGACTTCCGACGAAGACTCAGTGGTGAGCTTGCTGCTGCCTGAAGACGGGTAGTTGTCGAAATTAGGGCCCCTGTAGAATCTGTAGATCTACCCATGTGCAAAGGGTGTTGGGGATCTGTGGTGCATGGTTTGCATCACAGTCTTCTCGGGTGTTTTGTCGACTAAGCTTTGGCCTTTCTGTCACGTCTGGGTCGGTCTGACTAGTTCTGGGAAACACGGGCGGTTTGGGGTTCAGGCTTAGGATCTCTTGAGCCCTCTACGGCGCAATCAGTTTCCATTGCAGGACCCTCGCTCCACTGTGACGCTCCTCGGCAGCAAATCTCCAACAACACCGCTGCTGGCACGCGCACGGCAGATGCCGCATGAGATTGACCAGAGGCACAGGTATCACTGTTGCATCCACAATACCATACAACACCGCCGCCACACCGACAGCAACAACAACCACCACCAGAATTCCGAGGATGGTTCGGATAGCAAATCCAGCCATCATAGAGTGATGAAAGTGGTGCGTCTCTGTTCCTGTTTGTTCGAGGTTCAGCATGCTCCTGACCTTCACCTCTGGCTTTGGTGATGGCCATCCCGGTGAGGAGGCGACTGCCGGAGTTCGTGCTTAAGGGTTTAGGGCACAAAGGGCTTGGGACTCAGGGCCCAAGAGGGAGTGCTATGACAGGTGGGCGCTTGGCGTTCATAGCTCCAGTATGTTTCTACTGGCGTCGGCCACTGTCTGAACATCTGGACGGTGTCACCGGACTAGGTCCAAGAAGCTCCCACTAGGCGAGTCTGAATGCGGCTGACGTCACAGAGCTGCGCCGAGCATCGGACCGGAAGTCTTAGCCTTAGAATTATTCCGCCCTCACCTGCACAGGACAGATTCAACAGTTCGAAGCCTTCAAGTTCCCCTAACCCGAAACCCGGTACGCCTAAGCGGCTAGGAACCGAGGGCAGACCTGACGAAATCCGAATCTGTGGAGGCCAACACTCGCGCTGCAAGGGAGTGGCGTCGTGCGAACCGCCCGAACGAGACGAAGGCACGCTCAGCAGCAAGAAGGGTTGTGGGCCCGATTGGAACCCTAGACCTATCATCAATCGTACAAACCCAATAAACCCTGTAGATCCATCAAACTCTACACCTTAGAACCCCAAACCAGAAAGAAAAAAAACAAAAACGAAGCTAGACCCTACAACGCCAAACCCTACTAAAGTCCAGTTCGCACTGAGACGGTTGAGGGACCTAAACCCTACAATATAGAAGCCTAAACAGTTACCATGATGGTATTCCTTAGTGTTCCTTATTGTTACGTATACTATAAAGGGGCCATTTCGTCGCTTTGGTACTATGGGGCATCTATGGGCTTCAGGTTCGTGGGGTTGCTTTTCCCTAGACCTGCAGTTATTCAAAAAAGATGTTACTCGCCATATAATGTGTAGCTTAAGGTAACTTGAACCCTGTAGGGCTTGTTGCGGCTGTCTGAGTCCCCACTGCGGTCTGTGTTGCAGGGGAATGTTTTAGTAGATGTGTTGTTGCTTCTTCCTTCTTCTCACTTTGTCTTAGCGCGGTTTCGCAGGAATGCATCCAAGCCTTTGCCGGTGACGTGTTGTGGGTTCTTTCTTCCTGCGAAGGCCCTGGTGGTCCGACGCTTGGCCGCCAAGCCTTGCGACCAGCAGTCCGGATGCATCATCGGCTGCGCCAAGTACATCTACGAGAACGCGCCTCGGGCCAACTCAATGAGACACACCACTGTACCATAATACATACTATGTTAATTACGATAACACGATAGTGCTATAACTGACTACATTTCTATAATGTAATATTATGAGAATATACCCCAGTCATGGTCTTGAGCAACTCCTCAACTCCGTTACGTAGGGTTTGGGGCTTAGGAAAGTTATCTTCCTTCGATTACGATATCTTTGTCAGGATCGCCACAAAATTTCTATTTCTGGTTACAGGTGCCTGGCAGATGACCGATCAGAAGGACTTAATGCCTGTGTTTCCTTTGTATCTTCCCCCACTGTAAAGCCTCTGCAACAACTCGGCTTCCCACATGTCTTTTGTCATCGAGCTGTATTTTTTGAATAATACTGAAATGTGAAGGAATAATGGTGACAGACTTCATGACGAGGATAATATTTGCCGCGCAGAGGCACTAAGAATAACAGACTACGCGAGCTGGCAGCTAGAACACGCAGCTAGAAGTTGCATGCATTGAATCTCGAAGACCTCGTTTTTGATACATTCACTTCGTGCCTAGTCCGAAGACCAGCCTTATAGCTTCACATGCGCTTGACAACTTTGAGTCTAGGGTCTTCAGCTAGCATTCATCAGCCAGGTAAAGCTCATCGGAACCCCGGGACAGGCCTGGTATTCGCAAGTTGTTGCATTTCGGGCAAAAAGAGGTTGTCACCGTTTTCTCGGAATGCGGGTTCCTTTCGGTTTAGTTCGGGTGTCTTCCGTTGGGATCTGGGCATGCATCATTCGACCCAACCGAGGCATGGCTCGAGTAGGGCTTTGGAGCTAACTGTAACTGCATCTAGCGACAGATGTCAAATAAAATACTGGGACTGTCGGCATGTTGTACAAAGTGAGGTTCCTGGTTTGTGTAGACTCTTCGACGAATCGAGACGAGGATGTACTGGCACAGCCTGCGGCACATGCAAGCCGGAGCCTCCAAATGCTTCTAGAGCTGTGGGTTCATGTCACGTTCAGTACAGTACATCGAGTGTGCTGCTTTTTGTGTGTGCATATCTATGTATGTATGTATGTATGTATGTATGTATGTGGGTATGTATGTATGTATGTATGTATGTATGTATGTATGTATGTACATTCTGGTTTGGTTGGGTCTGGTCTGGTCTGGTCTGGTATGGTATGGTATGGTATGGTATAAACATAGACATTTACACATCGATGTACAACGTGTCCGAGTGTGTGTCTGTGTGTTCCTGTGCGTAGCACTCAAGGTGACAAACCAATTCCATTTGGCAGCTGCGGGCTTTAACCAGGACACCGGACTGACCCCACTCCAGGAGCATCTTCCGACATGGCACTTAGGCGCCTTCTGCTTCTGATCGCAGGGTTTCTGGCACTTCTGCAAGCTCTGTGTACCGTCCCGATTTCTTCTCGGTTCACTGTTCCACCTAGACGGGGCACCTACGGCCAAGAGGTGAAGCGTCTGTATCATGTCACAGAGCACGGCGAGGCCATTCGCAAGGATGGTTTCATGATTCCTGGTGACAAGGGCACCGTCGGTGGTGGCATATACTTTGCAGATAGTCTTTCGGCTGCACAGAGCAAGGCGACCAGCTCGGGCTACCTGGTCGTGGCGGATGTGCATGTCGGAAAAGCTCTGGCCATAGACAAGACGAGCCGTACGCACCAGGACTGGAAGCTAAGTGAGTCGCCCTGGCTGCTTGCTTTGACAGTGATTGCTGTGGTTTCTTTGGTCCTCGTCGGGGCTATGCATCTCTACGAGATGGTGACGAATGGCGGCTCATTTGACATAATGGACATGATTGATATGTCCGACATGTCTCCGCCACTCGGCGCATTTACTGAAGGCGACTGGGCGAGCTGCTTCCGTTCTTTGCAGGAAGCAGGATACGACTCTGTCTATGCCACTGGCCTCGACGGAGGGCCAGAGTATGTTGTCTTCAACAAGGATCAAGTGCAAATCGTGGAAGTTCGCCGGATGTAGTGCAGCTCCACCAGAGGGTCTGTCAGCTGGAAACTGGCCTGAGACAGTTTCCTGCACCTTCGCACTGCTGTTTGACCAAATCCCATACTATCCGTAATGAGGATGTTACATGAACGTAGCAGAACTGGTTCGAGTTGCCATAGTACCATAGTGTAGGATACTTAAGACTTAAGTTGTCCGAGTGCAGCAATATGCCGATTCGCCATCATTCCACAAAACAGGGTATGTAACGCAGTGCGGGATTTTCGCCATCAGCCGCATCTTAACCGGTGCTCACGAGCTTCGTGGCGAGCCACTGTTCCCTTATTCCCCATTTGAAGACAGTCGAGACCACTGCATGCCTTCAGGCCAAAGGTCGCAGCGACAGCCCCATCCGAACAAAAAACGCTCAAAATCAAGCGTGCCCCCATTAGAAAACCAAGGCGGAAAAGCTCCGCACACCAAGATTAAGATGTCATTCTCGAGTCTCGAGTGTTAAAGGTTGGGTTCTTGACAGAAGTTCGGCCCCGATGTGCCACCCAACTTGGAGCCCAGCTGCAAATTGGGGCTCGGTTTCCTGCTGCCCCCTGTGAACTATGTGAGTGTGATGCCAACAAGCTGAGCGTCCGAGGGTGCATGAATTGGTGGCTGCGTTTGTCTGTGGGCAGTGGGTAAGCTATTGAGCTTGATCGGGATGATCTGAGGTGGGGATGGTAGAGACCGAAAGTGGCGTTCATGCATTAGTGGTCCTTATCATAGTTGTATAAGACTATTCCCCCAGAAGCCCTTTTCCAAGCATGAAGGCCCCCCCTATTGGACTTGGAGATATGGGTTGAGGAGCTCAAGCCTCTATTGGTTCAGCCGTCGCACCTGAACCCTAAATCCTACACCCTAAACCTTTCGGCGTTTCGGTGTCGGGTTTAGGGCTTAAGACCTTACCTTTCGGATTGGGAGCTGTGTGTTGTGCCGAGGGTGAGAGCTCGTATCCCGAAGTCGACGACGAGTCGGACCAAGAGCCTCACCGGGCAGTGTCCGGGTAGTACTGCTTATTCCCTTAAGGCCCTTGCATAAATAGATTAGCCACGACAGTGTTCCTCAAAGCCCTACTCTAAACTGCAGGCACAAACAAAATCAGCTTCTCGAAAACTCTTAGGCATTTACTGGAACCCAAGTGGGAAACAACAGATTCCTGTGTGTGCTGTAAGAAGTTGTTGAACTTCTGTTATGAGCCGCCTAACCTTACACGTAGATGTCCTTCTCCGAGAGACTGTTCTGTACAGCTTCTCGACGACTGGTCGTTGAAGTACGACCCGATGCTACAAAGCATTGAACATATCGTAACTAAGCTCAGTTAGAGGATTAGCTCAAACTTCAGTTGAAAGTTCAACAGATGCACAGGTCATTTCCTGCTTGGTGCGCGCCAGACTTCTCTCCACACACACCTCAAAACCCTACTCTACTGAAACTATTAGGGCCTTCATACACATTCCCGTATCCAGGTGTACTCCTACAACTCCAACCATCTGCAGTTGGCAGCGGCAGTTGCCGTGACAGTGACAGGCCTCGACATCCAACAGGCCGAATCTGGTTTTAGGGCTTAGGGCTTAGAGATTTCAAGACTTTGGGTTTGGGGTTCCGGGCTTAGGGTTTAGGGTTTAGGGTTCAAGGCTTAGTGTATCTATAGGCTCTTACCCTACCCTTGTGTTAAGGTTCCTACGTTTCTACACAGGAGGTGCTATCCATAAATGACAAGTAGGTACCCTATAAGAGAGGGGTAGGACGCGCTTTAGGCATCATCATTAATAGAAGGACTCCAGGACTGTAGGGATTTAGAGTTTCAGACTTCCGGGATTCGGCGTTCGGGGCGTCAGACCTAGGACTGCTAGGACTACTATATCATACCACTAGATGATACTAGGGTTTAGGGTTTAGGTGCCATATTATTATACCACTGAGACCTGGCTTCAGTCATACTGTTTGCAGTGTTGTACCTGGCACCCAGAGGCCCGGCTGCGAAAAGAGCTTTAGAATCCACCTAGGGGGGAGTTTTCAGGATTTATAAGGTTTAGGCCTCAATGCTCAATAGTTTTATTCTCAGGGATCCAGATCACAACTATAGAAAATAATCTGATAACACGGGCATTTTGCGGTTGAGTTTTAGCTTGGAGCTTTGGATGTAGGTTTTACGTGTTTTGTATGTAGCTTGAGCAGTCAAGCCTTACGTAAAGGTTGAGGGGGGTAGTGCATGCTTGATCCCAGGTAAACCTCCGAATAGCCTTGCACACATTCTGTTTCCTGAGTTGCATAATTAAGCCTTTATATACGTACTGCAAGGGCCATTCGAAGCTGAAATGACGTCTCGTCTGCATGGACCCTTCCATTTGCCAAGTGCCGAGCCGCCAGGTTCCAGATGATTGTTGGATCTTCCTAGGTCCTAAGCCCGAACGTGAGGAATCGCAACATGCCCTAGTTAGCAGATTCAACCAACCATCTCCTTCGTTCATCCAAAACGATTCCCTTCGCCATAAACCCGTAAACCCCTTAAAGCCTAAACCCTAAGCCCCTCGGAGGTCATTCAGAAGTACCTGGTTACTGCTTTCGGCATGGAAGACAGCTCCTATCCTGGCAGGCAGTTTCCCCTAGAGAGCTTGTGGCCAACGACATGGTGGTTTGGGTTTGGGATGGTTTGGGGCTTAGGGTTTAGGGCGTTTTAGGGCTGATTTAGGTGGTTTCGCGTTTATGAGGTTTCGGCATTTCGGTGCTTAGATCGACCCTCCACCTCTCCAGCAAGCCGCAATTGCATATTTTTTTCTGCTACTCTGGGAGCAGATCCCGTAGAATGACCCCTACTCCTAGCTCCATGGACCTACTGTCGATGATCCAGATCTGCCGGCAAAGAAGGGTCATGTGAGGTTGCAAACCCAGATCTAGAGCTGCCCGGCTTCATGCCTCAACGGCTATGAGTTACGAGACCCGCTCTTCCAAAGTTATTTCTAAAGCCCGACTTCCATCTGCATCTGTAAAAGTTGTGGCGTTGAGTCCACTTAGTTGCGAGCTGCGTGCCCGCACCGAAAGAATGTCTACAGAGCTTCCACGCTTAGTTGGTTCAAGGGGCGACTGGCTTCTAGACCCTCCTTAAATGCCGAACACTCAAACTGCGAAGCAGCCACACCCAAAAGCCTTGAGCCCACTTCTAAACTTAACAGGTGCCCAGACTTCGGCGCCGACCTGTACACGACAGGACGCGTGTAGGAAGGATGTGAGGTTTTTGGCACGAGTTTGGGTAAGGGTTTAGGCTTTAGTTAAGGGTTAACTGAGTCTAGGAGGCCGAGAAAACCCTTGCCCAAGGTCGTGCCAAGGCCTCTCACCCTCCTCAAGGCATCCTGTCGTGCACAGGTCGCCGCCGAAGTCGGGACACCTGTTTGAATTTAGGGCTTGGGTTCTTCTTTTCCAGACCCTGAAAAGGTTCTGCGTGGTCAAGGTTTAGGGTGTGGAAAGCAGCAGCTTCTTGATTTGAACTAGAACACGTCAGCCAAGCGAGGTTCGGGGTTTTTTGGGCATGCTTGCAGTGCGGGCCGGCAGCTTGCAACAAAAGACGTTCAACGCTGAGACACATCGGAAATTTGGACTTAAGGGCGACGTCCCTTTGCGGCCGTGAGTTTTCCGTTGCAAGCTGCCGGCTCACGCTGCGCGCCCAAAGAACCCCCATACCTCCGATGGCACACACAATGTCAAGAAGCAGCTTCTTTCCACACCCCAATGCTGACCACCCGGATCCAAAATCTTCAAGGTCCCCCTAGCCACCCTAGCCCTAGAGATCTTAAACCAAACAGGTGCCCCGACTTTGGCGGCGACCTGTACACGACAGGATGCCTGGAGGGATAAGGTCTTGGCACGAGCTAGGCTTTGGGATTACTCGGCACAGCCAGGGGCTTATAAACCTTGGGGTTTAGGGCTTATGAACCTTTAGGGTTTAGGGCTTATAAGCTTTAGGGTTTAGGGTTCTCGCGCTTCCGGCCGAATGCAGAAACCGTGGGAGGTGGATGTAGTAGGGTGTAGGTTTCCAGGCATTGCCGAGGCTACGTCTCCGAATCGACATATGGCATTTGACCCAATACACCCTGTCGCCAAGGGACCCCTAATAAGGGGTGGACAAAGCAGAGTGTAGGAACGGCAACGCTATCTCCGCATGCTCATATACTCATTTACTCGTGCATATGTGCATGTTTGCAACACGTAGCGGGACCTGACCCCGAAACCTTAGACCATAATCTATGTGAGAAGGAAAAAAGCTCAGACCCTCAACCGCCATGCCAGCCGAGTGCGCGTGTGTGAGTCGAAACCCTAAACCCTTCGCCTGGCATGTCCGAGTTGTGAGAGCCTAGACCCTGATATTGTTGACGAAGTCGCAAACATACATATTCGGTCCGAAGGAGCGGATTACGAGAAGTTCATGAAGAAGCTCTTGGGCTATGAGGCCGCTTCGGGGAGGCTTTAGGGTTTAGGGTGTTTAGTGGTTTAGGGCTCTGGGGCTTTAGGGTTTAGGGATCTGGCTTTAAACTGAGGCTTCGGAGAGCCAAGAGGTTCTCTGACATGATCGCCAGAAGGTGTATGACAGGGATCAGACAACCCCACCAAAAAGACATCAGGTTTACAAGAAGTCGTTGATCGACGAGTCGGAGGTGGATGCCACGCCCTTCATGAAGGCAACGGCGGGGTCCGAGTCATGGCTTGGAGCCTCCCACTTGTACGGGGCTAGCAGGCCTCCTAGGACTCTCCGGGAGGGTTCGACCCAAAGCTTCGGTCCACCGAGGCTTTCTTAGTGTTTCGGGACTGGAGATGGCAAAACAGCAGAAGCCTGGCGAACATTACAGACATGTTGTACGATGCCGGCAGTCGTAAACTTAAGATTGGGTGGCAACGGCCAGAAGAGAAGCACTTCAAAAGAAGCAAGAAACCGACACCTGATACTGTTCCACTCCGCATCCACAGGACTTCTACACCCTCTATGGCGAACCTTGGCCACACGGGGGAAAGTCCCGACTTGGGGTTAACGGCATGTAAATGCCCGAGACTTTTGCAATCATCGCCGCAAACCCTTAGCTAGCACTTGAAGGAGTTTGACACCTTTCTGAAACCCAGGAAGCTGCACAAACTCTCTTGTCGTGAGCGGTGCCCTCCATCTCTCTCTGGTCTGTTTCCGACAGGTTATTTCCTGGCAGCACAAAGAAAGCGGCCCGAAGAAAGCATCACCACACTTGGAGACTAATTATAGACATGGGAGCTTTGCAAGACTGCATCGCATGCAGCCGTCATTACGGGACCGCGCGTGCTGCAGGGCAATTTAGGCACGAAACTTAGTATTCGTCGCACCGGCTCATTCGCGTGTATTTATTATCGTAGAACATGCACATGCGACTATATCACGTGTGTGTATATATATATGTAGATAGATAGATCGTTAGATAGACAGACAGATAGACAGATAGACAGATGGACAGATAGATAGATAGATAAGTATATAGAATATAGACAGATAGACAAGATAAGATAAGATAAAACAAGATAAGATACGATAAGATAGATAGAAAGAAAGAAAGATAGCTAGATAGATAGACAAACAGACAGACAGATAGATAGACAGACAAATAGACAGATAGATAGATCAATAAATAGATAGATGGTTAGTTATAGATAGATAGGTAGATAGATAGATAGATGTAATATAGATAGAGATAGAGATAGGGATGCAGATGGATATACAATATAGATATAGATAGAGATAGAGGTATAGAGGTTAGATAGTTCGACGGCTAGATAGATAGATAGATAGATCGCCAGATAGACAGATAGTTAGATAGATTAAGTTACACTTCCACGATCCTGCACGTATCTGCTCCTTGCTTTGATGCGTCCTGTCTGGCCAACCATAATCCGTACTTCCAGCCAAGCAAAGACTACGGCTTTAGGGAAAAAGGGAGATGGCTCTGCCATGCAAGGATTACGGTTTTGGCCACTTCCTCATGTGCTTCGACAGCGTGAAGGGTTTCACCAAGGAGTGCGAGGAGGCGCAGTCCTTAACTCTGACGCCGAAGCTCTCAACCCTAAGTATCTGCAAGGGCAGGGCGGAGGCACAGGCGGCACAGGGCCCTTCTGCATCACGCAGTTTATGATGCAGTTGATGCAAGTTCTTGGGTCCCATGCTGTTAAAACCTTAAAAGAGTCTTTCCGTCGTTACGGCAGGGGTGAGTTTAGGGATTACTGGTTTCGAGTTTAGGACTCAGGAAAGTTTGAGGTTTTGGCTGGTGTGATGTACTGTGTGAGATGGCAGGTGGGGGTCTGTTCTGGATTTGGCGTCCGGCCGTGGATGTTGTGCACTGTGTTTGGACATAGTATGGTATGCGATGCTTTGGTACTCCGCGTTAAGGAAGACATGCGTTGTAGGTTCCAGGTTGAGCTGATCGGAGCAGCTAGAGAGATGTGTATTGAGTCTATGGAAATTCCTAGTTAGTGTAGCAAGTTTCTCACCTTGCAGCAGTCAGCATGGAGATCAGAAAACCCGTGAGGAGGGCAGGCAGGGCAGTGGACGTGCCAACTTCTGTTGATAGGCTTCGGAAGTCGTACAGGTGTTTTTTCTTCCACCCTCTGCAGTGTTGACTGTCATGGCTTACCTACTCTATGCTGTTCGGCACCCAAACCCTGAACCCTAGAGGAAAAAACCCTAAGCTGCTTATTTGACCGTAAACCCTGAACCGCCCCTACAAAGTCAAGGTCGTTTCGGGGTCGGATGCAGCATGTTGCACTTGTCCAAGCCATGAGTCTTTTTTAGATATTGGACACTTTATGGCCCCAGTATGGCTTTAGGGTTTTAGGGCTTAGGGTTGAAATAGGTTTTAGGGTTTGGTGACGCCTGCGACCCTACAGTCTCTTCACTTACTGAATGTGCAATTTGATGCTCGCGGCACGAAAACCTGGAACCCAGTGGAACCCGAAACATATTTGGGCAGGCACACTGCCACATGGACCCAGGACTGCTCGGGGCGTGGATTGAACAGCAATCCCCGCGTGTTGTGCTTCTCTAGGACGGTTGCTGCCATTGTGTTTGCCACTGCTTGTTCATCATACATGCAATCAGAGCAACAGGAAACTGTTCAGTCGGTAAACAGTTGAAACAGTATTAAAGTTGCATTTGCTGCCCTTGTTTTTGCCGTCTTCCCCCAATTTCCCGTATTTCGGACCCCGCCAGAAAACTCTGTCTTCCTTTGTCCAACAACCCTCCGAGGGCGTGTAGCAAGTTAGATCGAACACCCCTTTCGACTGAACCATCATCTCTGACGCCCGGGACGTAATGCTTCTCCGACATAAACCCTAAGCCCGACCCTTCCCCTTTAAGCGCTCTCTTGGCGCTGTTCGCCTGGTTTGGAGTCTAGAAGTCTTGTTGTTGAAAGTCCAGATCTCATGAGCTTGTTTCACCATGCCGACCTCAGCCCACGTGCCTCGCCTGGATTGTCCGAACGTCAGCGCCGGAACCCTAAACTCGGTATTGTAGTGCTCAAGCACACGACCTGCTGCGCGTAAGCTTCACATTCTTGATCACTGCGCGGGATTCCGCTGCTATGCCAGAACGGCACAAACCAATATCCCCTGAAGACTAACCCGGTTTCTGATGGCTCATATCAGAGCACAGGAGCCTTTGGGTTCATCCCGCTGTACGACCGCAAGAACAACTATTACATGCAGGTGCCTTGCAGCTCTGGTGGGTGTTGATGAGAAAGCAGAAGAAGCGCAAAATAGTGCTGTGTTATCGCGGGAGACTTGGGAATTGCGTGCGGCGCAGTGTCTCATGCTAGAGCTGTTGAGACTATGGCCCTCCTACAATGAGCAAACTTGAAACGCGTCTACCAAAGCCATGGTGCCTCAGCTTGTCACCCTCTGTAGGCCCGGAGGACGCCCCTCATAAAGCGCTCTTCTGAGTACTATGCCTAGTTATCGCCGGAACAAAGCAAGGACAGGCATGCATGAAAATGAGTGCAGGTTGTATGCTGCTGGACGCTGCATGACCTAAACCCTGGGCCTTAAACCCTAAACGTTCCCTAAACCCGAAACCGTGGCTCTTCACAGGTGGTCGCTGCAGAGATCCCCCCTACTGGCTTCTATCCGCTCAGTGGCATTCCAGAGTACCTGGCACCTTCGGATGGAAAACCGCGTGTGGTTCATGATCTTCTATCTATAGTCTTATGGTATACTATCCTCAAAATACTACCCTATGATATGCTATCCTGTAGTATACTTCGTTATACTACTATCCCACAACAAGCCCTACGATGATTACGATGATATGATATACTCAGGGTATGCAGTCATCGGTGTTGTTGTAGTCGCCGTTTGGCGTGCAGCGAGCTCCAGGAGGCCTTTGCGCGTTCGTCTCGTTCGGGTTACCCATAGGCTCCATAGTAGTATTTAGGATCCTATACGGTAATCCCAAAAAGGAACCACTAAGGAGCCTATGGTTAGGGACCACGATTTACCGAAGGTTTGTTCCTGCACGCTACACGAAATAGTAGGAACAACAATCATAACAACAATAATAAGAATAATGGCAACATACTATCAACAATAATAATGCTGCAGTGACAAAGGTATGCCCACAATGTTAATGATGGTAACAAGAAGAAGAATATTAATATTAATGTTAATTTATTGATAATGTTAATAATCATAATCAAAATAATGCTACTAATAACAATAATAATACTAATGAGGTCCTATGTCCTTGCGCTGGGAGTCTGTGCCGGTATCAAAGCAGCTTGAGGCGGTAGCCATCAAGCCGCATGTCGACGCCATCATGACGAAGTCCGTTTCGACCAACCCCATGGAACCTTGCTTGAAAACTATTTCATATGAGCTAATTCGTTCAGACCACAAGGCTTGCAAGCTAAATCCTTATCTGGGACCTGACCCTTTTGAAATCAGACCAGAACCCATCCCAAGAACGTATCAGCAGCCAGGTTCTGAAACAGCAATGGACCATGGAGGTTCTTGGTCAGGGTTGATCGGCACGTAGCGTGTTATTCTATTCGACTATACTCGGCTAGGCTGATCATGCTATACTACACTCTACTATACGACTTTATACTACTCTCTACACTATAGCCTACTACTCTGTAATTACTACTCTATACTGTTCTATCGTGTTCTATACCGCTGTTTACGATGATATACTTTGCTATGTCGTATTACTACACTATGCTCTCGGCTGTACTTTACTATGCCGTACTAGACTAGACTTGAGCATTCTATACTATGCCTTACTGTAACTTTCAGAGAGTTATCGAGCCAAGTACCCATGCTTGTAGGCGTCCATAAACCCTGACGCCTCAGCACTCTGAGCCTCAATATAGGAGCATGATTTATTGCAAGTACTATTCCTGAGGGTTCCCTGTAGTTTACCCCGACACCCGCCCCTAATTCTCAAGGCGCCTATATGAAACTTATAAGTCCCTAATGCACAAACTCGGAGCTAAGGAGCAGATGTCTCACAACCCGCAGTTCCTCTCTCTCAGCCTCTCCGATGTCAACTACTGCCTGATGCATGGCGGAATGGTGAGTGGATTCGTTTGGATGTGGGGCTTTCGGATTCCGGTTGATGTGAAAAGGCTCAGCTGCTGCTAACCCGTGACATTGTTCCTAAATCCCGAGAGAAGCCACGCATTGCAAAGCCGCACGCGAACACCAAGCCCACATAAACGTTGATTGGACACCTCTTCAAAGACGTGTTAACTGTTGATCGGGTTCGAGCGACTAGGAATTATCGGGCCTGTTTTTTTCCGTGGTTAGGGAACCACGAAAGGATTTTATTTCTACTAATTCAGGATCCTTGGTCTTGTCAGCAAACATGGCCGCGTCGACATTGCAAGAACACCAAGTCAACAGAATCATTAGGCAGAGCTGCTATATGAAGTGTTGTGATGATGCGGGCTGACCTAAACACCACGAGTACCGATTATTTCGTGGCATCATTACTCTCAGGGCCCAGGGCTCCAATGGCCGAAACACAGCCGGTCTTTTCAGAAACCTGAGCCTCTTGAACCGCCCTAGTGCGAGTGTGTGGGCTGGAACTACGACGACACCGTATTCTGACATTTAGGGTTTAGTGCTTAGGTTTAGGTTTTGGGTTTAGGGGTTTAAGGTGTAGGGTTTAGGGCGAACCTTATCATGTGGATCTCAGTTCATTGGCCTTTCAATGCCGGGGGAGCAGAAGCCCCAACTCAGCCAAGGAGCTGCCCCGTAAGCCTTAAAATCAGCCAATACCCAACAGTCGAAACCCAGCTTCCCTAGACACGAAACCCCCTCAAACCCTATACACCCTCTAAGCTGTGTATACCCTAGAATCCCTAGAAAAGCCCTGAAGCCCTAAACCGTATGCCCTAAACCTATAAGCCCTAGCGCCGAAACCCATACGCCTCAAGCCTAAGAACCCTCAAGCCCCAAACCCTAAACCCATGCAATGAACAGCCTCTCAAAACCCTAAACCCCTTACCCTTTAACAGCCCTCGAAAACCATACAACCGCCAACCCCCTAAATCCTAAACCCACGTCATTTGATCTGTATCGTCGGGTCATCTCGCGTGACCACACCATGACACCATGTCGTGCCTCGTGCGACTTAGAGTCGAAACAAACCCGAAAACCGTAAACCTTAAACACCACAAACCTTGAACGTCTGAAACCCTAACGGCCCTAACGGCCCTAACCCCGAAACCCTAAACCTCGCCTGCATTGTCCGAGTGGGAGAGCCGAAACCCTAAACCCCTAAAACCATTTGAAGTAAGCTCCCCCCCACCCCCCGTCCTGTCGGTTGTCAGCGTCGATGGATGATGCCACGATGGATGATGAGGAGACTCAACCAATGCATCCCTCCGAAGTAGATGAAAGCCCGCTACACTCAGTTAAACCAGACCTCGCTGCTGTTGCGATTGCGATGGAAGATCGTCGGGCTCACACGGAGGCATTGCGGGATGCTGCTAGAGCCGCTGCTTCAGGTGCTCCCAACGACAGACTGGTGCTCCCCCTTCCAGGGCTAAATCCATACCAGCAAAATGCTCTCAGTGCAGCGCCTGCTTCGGCCCCTGCGCTCAGTTCAACACCTGCTCCTACCTTCGGGGTAGGCGGTCGCAAGGAAGGTAAGGGGCCCAAAGACCGACTTGAGAGTCCTGAAAAGAAGCATAAGCCCGACAGGGTTCGTCGTGATGGCCTTGGGCCCACTCCCTTGTTTGGAGGTAGTATGTCATCGGCCCCCACAGCTGTTCCTAAAGAGATGCCTCCCCAACCTACTCGCACCGGAGGACAGCCTGAGTTCTATAATCTGGACCCGCAGTCTCCGCCGGCTTGGGTTCATGATTTGAGAGACATGATGGTTGGTGGTCAGCGGGAATTGATGAGTGAGCTTCAGTCGCATAAGTCCCACCTAGCCCATGTAGTCACCCAGGTCCAAGGTATTGATGACCAGCAGCAGGATTTGGCTAAAGCTCACAAGGAAATGCAGCATCGCATGAGCAACATGGAAGCCGAAGTTAGAAACCTAAAGTCTAGGTCCCGATCGGTTAGCCCGGCCCCTCCCCTTCCTGATCAGAGTCCCAGATCGACGACAGCAAGCACTGCAGGAGGGAGACCCCCTGTTGATGACCTACAGCTAGTCATTGGCGGTTGGGATGATGCGAGGAGAGGGGAAATCGAACAAGAAGTGCGCGACCTTTTCTCGAAAATAGAAGCCTCACCCCTGTTGTTGAACATTCATGTTCCTTTTGTTCGCAGTAGGTTTGCAAGAGTTGAACTACTTTTCACAAGCAGCAGCCTTGCGGAACGACGACGGATCCAGACCCTGACCCTTGAAGCCCTAAAGAAAGCCCTCGCAGATTATACCAGTGCCATACCGGGGCAGCAGGCGAAGCGCCTTTGGGTCACAAGAAACAGATCCAAGGAGGACAGGGAGAAGATTCGGGCACTTGTCAGTATGAAGGACTATGCAAAGCGGTACTTGGATGAAAGCCAGATCGATCTTGACTGGCGGGGGCGACTTTGGCTGAAAGGAGAACAGGTTCTTTATTGGCACATCTGGAAGAAGCCTGTTGACGGTTCGGTGATGTTGACTAATGCTGCTGGTGATGAAACCGGATGGTGGGTTGATTCGGATCAGTTTGCGAAGCTTCTCAACTTACCGGCGGACCAGGTTAGGCAGGAGCTAACAGATTGACTAGCAAGCCAAGCGAGCCAGAAGCCGAAGAACTCTGCAAAAGAAACTAGGGAATTCGTTCCGATTACTTGGAACTTGCACGGTAAACACTTGTCAGCCTTGAAGAACCTTGTTGACAGACTCGAGGACCCGTTTGATCTCCTCTGCCTGCAGGAAGTTGGAGGCTTTTCCCATCTCCCCGATGGGGAAACAACTCTTGAATTCATTACACTCTAAGACATGTCATATAAGGCCTATGTATACCAAGCCCCCCAATCGCATCGCTGCGTGGCAATCTTGATACGAGAGGACCTCGACATCCACATCTCAGTACGACATCTCTTTGGCACAGGGTTCCTCGTCCAGGGCAGGGCTATGGGTAGAAATTTTTGGCTAGGGACTGCCCATCTCCCCCACCAGCAACGCCCTGACGCTGAGGAATGCTGGCTAGCGAGCTTAGCCAGACTTGACGAAATCCTGGCACATGCAAGGTTTCAGGACGTTGTCTTGCTAGGACTTGATGCCAACCAAGACCCCTTGAATTCAAACCCACACTTTCCTGCACTGTCCCGCCTTCAGTTCCTTGCTCGACACCGCGGACTGGAATTTAATATGCATGTAGGACCAACTTGGGAGGCCCGGGGGGAATTCAGTACCATTGATTGGTTTTTGTTTAGATGGCCAATGATGGAAATACTTGCTCACCTTCGTCCTGACTTGCGCACTGCACTTCCTTCGGATCACAATCCCTTAGTAGCTTGTTTCACCGGTAGGTCAGGCCTCAAGATGCGACCCCGACGACCCAGGCACGGTTGTGGAAGATGGAGTGTCCCCGATAAGCCACTTCAGGCGCTGGCTCAGGATCCCAAGGTCCCTTTTGACCCCGCTGAATTTGCCAAGGTTTGCCGTCAGCATGGGTCCCGTCTCCCAAATCGGAGATACAAGGACCCCCCTGAAGTGCTCGAGCTGATCAGAAAACGTAAATTGGCTTCGGACATCCAGGAGCGAACCAGGCTTGCATCGGAAGTTTCCAAAGCCCGCAACGAAGCCCAGAAACAACACAAGCTTGACCTCTTGCATGCAGCTCGGTCAGGAGATAGAGGGGCCATTGCCCATCTAAGGAGAAGCGCAAGTCAGACCTTTTCCGATGGCAGCCTCATTGAACGCTTAGGTGGGGAAGAGGAGGCCTTCAGGGCTTTCTGCATGTTCTACGAATCTAAGTATTCTAGACCCACAACAGAGCCCGATGTTTCCCCTGAACAACAGACTGCCATGCTGGAGAGGCATCAAGCTGCCAACACAGAAAGAATAACAGACGAGGAAATTGCAGAGGCTCTCTCTGCAACGAAGCCCTCAACCTCTTCTGGGCTGGATTCGGTCTGCTACGGGGCCATTGCCTCCTACCATAAAGGGGACACCCAAGGGAAGCTGGCTTCCTTCTTCACAGACATTTTGCTCGGCAATAAACCTGTGCCTCAGGATTGGCTTGTCGGTAAAATATGCTTCCTCCCCAAAGTATCTAGGCCTGCTCATGTCAAGGACCTGCGACCCATTAGTTTGACTCCATGCCTCGGCAAGCTATACAGTAAGATACTTGTCAAGCGACTCCGCCTGACACTTCACGACTATCGAGCTGGTCAGCACGCATGCAGACCCGGAACTCAGGCCCTGGAGGCCATCACGGCTGCACAGGCCACCATGAAGCTCTACCGCCAGTCAACAGGCAAACAGCTTCTGATAGCCAAACTAGACATCAGCCAGGCCTTTGATACCCTTAGTCATCATGCTATCTGGCGTTACCTTGTTGACGCGACACCCAGCAGAGAAGCTTTGTCTCTTTGGCAACTTTGCAGGAACACGAGCATCAAATTACAAATAGGGTCTCATAGCTGGCACCAGTTCCTACATCGCGGTGTTCTTCAAGGTACATCCTTCAGCGCTGACTTGTTCTCCAGAGTGTTGGATTATTTTGTCGGTGGACTCATTGATAGATGGAAGAGGGAGGAGGGGGAAGTCTTCAGAAGATTCTGTCTTCCACATGCCCTTCTGTTTGCAGATGACATTTTAGTCTTTGCTCCATCAGCTAAAGACATGCAACAGAAGATCCGAGCCCTCCAAAGCACGCTTGGAACTATTGGATTGAAACTCAACTTGAACAAGTGTGCAGTCCTTGATGGGGAAGATGGAACGACCCCGGGCATTTGGGGCAGAGGGACAGCCACCCCCCTTCAAGGAGCGGAGAGTCTGCTGTACCTAGGTGTGCCACTCACGTAAATAAGCAACCCGCTAGGCCAGTTGGGAGTCTCTCTTGCCAAGGTTTCGGCTGCTTTCTTTGGCCTGCGCAGACTGTTTGAT